CGCTGAATTTTTCGGGGTTTACTGCCTTTAGGCCCGGTCCGCTTCTCCCTCCCTTCGGGGCTTAAATTGACCCGTCGTTCTCGATCCACCACCCATCCTCTACCTCCTCTCCCGCACTCTCTCTCGCGCACTCTATGCTCTCTATTGCTCGCAACCGCCCCCGACCCACCCGCTCCTCGCCCCGCCGCTTGCCACAGCTTCCAACCTTTTTACCCCGTACTACCCTGCTTCCGCCTCCTCCACCTCCTCCACCTCCTTCTCCACCTCCTCTCACGGCCCCTCCCCTCAACCCCTTTTTATCCTCCTCTCCCTCACGCGCACCACTCATTATAGTTCCTCCCTCCACTCTAACCATCCTCCACCTCCTCCTCCACCTCCTCCCTTACCCCTTTACTGCTCTTCGCAGTCCGCTTCAACCCGCTTCGTATCCCACCTCCACCCTCCTGCACGCCACCACCCTCCACCCGATCCACTGCTCTACCGCAACCCCGGGAAAACCCTGGAAAATCCAGCAGCGTACACCTAACTTCACCCTGTATATACCACCTATGTGCGAACGCGAATGCGCGTCCGCGCACCTCTGCTCGTACACGCCGTTGTATCGCCTTCTCGCTCGCTCGCTCTTTCCGCGCCTATGTATCGCGCGCATCGCCTCTACACGGCCGTAAAATGTAGCCGCGTGCATGCGTGCGAGCCGTCTAATAGGCATCGCGCTTGGCCAGAGAACGCGCGCCAAGATCGTTCGAAGGTCGATCGAGCCAAACGATTCTTCCACTTTTCGTTTAACGCCTCGACGTTTCGCTGCTGCTGCTGCTGCTGCGGCGGCGGTGCTCCATCTCGAAACGCGCGGATCCGAAGAAACGGAGAAACAAACGGAACGAGCGAGAGAGAGAGAGAGAGAAGCGTAGGCGACGAGTATAGTAGAGAGGCCGAGAGCGAGGCAAAGCGACGCCGAGACGCGTATATACCACTCGGCTACGCGTTCGCGTTGTCGAGGAGAGTCGGCGGCGTTCCCCGTTCGGTTAGAAGCCGCGTTAAAAATAACCGATGATCGTTGTTCGGTCGATCGCGTCGAGCACGCACCAAGGCAAGGAAAATAGGGGGAACGACCGAGTTTTTCGATGAGCGTTACGCGCGCGCGAACCGGCTTGGGTAATTTACGTTCCAACGAGCCGCTTCTCGTTACCGTTAATCGCGTTCGCGGATCTTACGCGATTTCTCCCGTCGCGCACCGTCGAGAACGAAGGCCACGTTCCGCGAAATCGCGACGAAAATCGAGAGAGCGCGCGCGCTCTCTTCGCGCCGCGCCGCGACGCCGCGCGCTGCGTTCCGCTTCGTTTCGTTGCTCTCGCGTCGAGAGCGAAGGAGAACGCAACGTTTTACCGGTTTAGAAGAGAGAGAGAGAGAGAGAGAGAAAGAGAGAGAGAAAGAGAGAGAGAGAGAGAGAGAGAGAGTGCAACTCACAGAAATGGTTTCCCGGTCCGGCGTAGTGATGGCCCTTGTAAGCGGCGAAGAGTCCCGGGTTGATTCCAATCTGTGACAAAAATCGATCCCATTAACTCCAACCGGGGACACGAGCGTTCTCTGCTCGTGGAACGCATCGAGCACCGGCCGCGATCGTCGTCGACGTCGACGTCGGCGGTCGTCGAAACGCGCACGCACCACCTTTCATCGGAATTCGGCTGCGTCGATTCGCATTCCCGCGACGGAGCGTGTAACTCGTTTCTCCGATCCAGAGCCAGCGCGGACGCGCGAGATTTTTCTCCTCGATCGAGCCACGAGGTTCTCTGCTCTCCTCCGCGACCACGAGGAGAGGAGAACGACGAACGTGGAAGATAACGATCGCCGGTGAACGTCGGTGTTTCGCCGTTTCGTACGCTCGATTCCTTTCCCGGCGCGAAACACTCGTATAGCAGTACACGGATTTCGCATACACCGTTCTTAGCCGCGATTATGCAACGCGGTAGAGACAGGTGTGGTAGTACCTGTTGCGCAACCACATTATCTTCGCTCTTCGCTCCGTCGTCGGTTGAACAATTAATAACGACAAAGTCCAAGGATACGTGACAGGGACGCTGCCGTTCGACGCCAGCGTCCTCGCGTCTTTTTTCCCCGCTTTCGGTTTACCGTTTACGCGCGCGTCTTCCTTCGCGAACCACGCCGAGGAGGACGATCCGGAGGATGGAAAAGATCGGAGAGAGAGATATATATATATAGAGAGAGAGAGAGATTCCGAGAGAAAAATAGAGCGAGAGAGAGAGAGAGAGAGAGAGAGAGTGAGGGGGCGGAGAGGGAAAAGCACGAGCGACGCAAGGGGTCGTGGAACTTTGGTCGAAATCGCGTTATATCGTTTGTCGCGTACGGGTGGTCGAGTTCTCTCCCTCCGTACATAAAGTACGTATCGCATTAGCGCGTTAACGCCAATGCGTTAGCCGGTCGGTCGGCGTCGAATGGCGCTTCGGCCGGGATAAACGAGGATAAAATGACGGGGGTTGGAAGCCAGTGTAGGGTGTGGAATTGTCGCCGATTGAAAACAACGCGCGTCGATGAGACCGGAGCGGGTCTGGGTTAGGGGGCCGGGGGATTGGCAGGACGGAGGCAGAGGGGTGGCCGTCGAGAGGGTAGTAGGGGGCTTGGAATCGGGGATCCAGGGGTAGAGAGCCTCGACGAAGGCCGGCGGCCGACACCGGTGTCCCGCTGCGTTCGATTACAACGACGCCCGTAATAACCGAATTGCCCACGGCCCGTTAAAGCGTTTACACCGTTTGACGGATGATCGACCGCGCTGACTACTCGTTCCGCGCGTAATATATGAATATGGACCAACCGTTAACGGACTCTCTCTTTCTCTCTCTCTCTCTCTCTCTCTCCCTCTTCCTCCCTTCTTCCCTCTTTCTCTCTCTCTCTCTCTCTCTTTCTTCTCTGCCTCTCTTCCCCCGTTCACCTTCTGCATCTCGTCGGCGAAGAACGGCGTCTCCGCGAGGGTGGATCGACGACAACAACGATGACGACGACGACGATCGAGCAGAGCGCGATCGCGGGCGCGTACGCGGCTTCGCTTGAACCGTAATCGAATCGATCGGGCGGATTCGAGTCAAGGTCGTGGCGAAGGTCGTCGTCTCGCGACCGACCGAGGGAAAATCGCGAACCGCGCGCTCCTCTATCCGTTGGAAATGGAATGATTTCGATGGTGCGTGGACGGTGGTGCTAGTGTGGTGGTAACGGTGGTGGTGGAAGTGGCGATGGTGGTAGTGGTGGACGGCGTGCTCGATGAAACGGCCCGCGATAGGAAGGTGGTGAACGCGCGCTCGTTACCGACGTCGAGCGTGATAACCGAATTGGGTATGGACCATTAAAGCGATTACGACACCTGACGAACGCGCTACAAACGGCTATTTGTCGTCGTTACTACGTTCCTACCGTCTCGCTACCTTCCAGATGCATTTTCCCGCTAACCAGACGCCCGTTATGCCGACGACTAATCCGATTAATCCTTCTCCCTTGGCGAAAAACGACTCGACTCGTAGGAGCGTGCGACCCGAACCGACGCGATACGGGGGGGGGGCATTGTCCCGTCTTCGATGGCGCCCCGACGGCGCCACCTTTCCCATTTTTATTTCTTTTTCTCTTTTCCCTTCTCGTTCGCCGCGTCCGCGACGAACGTCAACTTACTATGATAATGTCCAGGTTGCTGGCCAGGTGATCCGGTAGAACCCGCTTGCTCACCTCTTCTTCCGGCATACCGTCGAATCTGTCGTGCTTCTTCCTCTCTTTGTACGTCTTTGCTCGTTTCTTCGCCTCCGCCAGTTCCGCCCTGCGCAATCAAATTCCACCAATTGCTCACTCGCGCGCGCGCGCACACACACACGCACACGCACATAGACAAATACACGCCTCTCGGTCTCGTTCGATCGGAAGCGCGAGAAAGGACTTTAACGGAAAAATCGGTCCGCGACGGTTGTCGTGGAGCGTACGAGTTTGTCGGAAAAGTTCGCGCGAAGCGAACGGCTATAATCGAGTCTGGTCGCATCGATCCGCGTCTATCGACCTCGCCGCAAATTATTATTTAGAATGAACTGTACCCGTCGACCGCGAACTCTAGTCGCGCGCGGTCTACTTGCCAAAATTATTCCGTAAATACGCAACCGATTCGGATTATCTCGTTACCGCTGCTACTGCTACTACTACTGCTACTGCTGCTGCTGCTGCTGTTGCTGCTAACGCCTATCGCGTCTCGTTCTCCGCGTTCGCGATCGAAAGTCGGACCAGAGAGAGGATGTTGTCCCGTGCGGTCTCTTACTCTTCCGGGGTGAGAATCATTTCGGATTTTCTCTTGCGGCCCCGCTTCTTTGGCTGATGCGCCGCCAACTGAGGATTCACGTTGCCGTTCATCACGCCGAGGTTCATCTGAAGATGTTGCGGTCCGGAGAGTGGGCCGGGCGGTGTGGACGTAGGCGTAGCGAGGACTGCTTGCCCTCCAGCCGGACACGTCATGTTCTCCGGATTGCCGACCGGGCTGTTCGCCGTCCTTATGCCGCCCATCGACATTTCCTCGTCGACGAACGAGTACGGGTCCACCGGGGTCTCGCACTTGATCGCCACCTGTGAAATCAATTTTTCTTTTTTTTTCTCTCTCATTTCTCCCTCTTTTCTCCCTCTTTTCTCTCTCTTTTCTCCTTCCCTCCTCCCCTTCTTCTCCTTGTCGTTCTTATTTTTTTTTCGCGAAACGCGTAAATACTTACGTAAAACGATTCGACCAAACCTCTACGACCCATCCCCGGGGGAGCGCGACGGCCGGTGAAATTCCGCTTACTCCACTCGTCGCGTCTTTCCCTTCGTCCTCGTCCTTCGCCGTTACGCGTCCTTCGATTTCTCTCGATCGATGCTCGTCCACGGATACTTTTTCCTTTCTCGATACGCTTCGATTTTTCTTCTCCACGCGCGTTTTTCCAATCCCGCCAATTCCCGCTACTTTTTCTTTTTTTTATTTCCTTTCTTCTTTCGCGCGCGGCGTGTCGGCTCGTTCGGAAAATAACGCGTGTAAACTCGGGCGATCGTAAAACGCGCGAACGATACGAAAATCGCTGCACCGATTACCGTCTGTCTGTTCGCCGCTCGCGTGGAAAATTAATCCTCCATGGCGGACTTTCTTCGCGTTCCGCGACGCGTCTTTATCGCGGACCCGAGAGACTCGGACGAATCTATCCTCGCGACAAGAACGCATCGATCATCGACGCAGATTTCGCGAGGCGATAACTGGACGACAGTGACACCATTATCCCCGGCTATCGCTCGCAACCTTCGAACGAAGCACGCGCGCGCGCTCGCCACGGTAGCCGAGCACAAAAGGAGGAAAGGGATACGCTGTTTATCGGTGTCTGCTGACCGTCGCGACCGATTATCTTTCGGCTTCTTAGCCTCGATCTTGGGTTATCTCCGGGCGACTCGGGTCTCTTCGCTACGTGTGCGTACGCGCGATGCCCGCGACCGAGTTAATCGCGTATACGCGTACAGAAGGGGGAGCAGCAGCGTTTGGTAGGAAAATCCAGGCCGAAGGGTATCGCGTCGGAGTGTAACGCCGCGTCACCCTGACACGGTCCTCCAAGGGGTGGCTCGGATCGCGCGGCATCGACGATAAATCCGAGACGCGTTTACCCCGATACGCGACTCCTTTCTTCCTTTCTCTTTCGCATCTCTGCCGCGGCACGCTTAGGATTTAGCAAACCGAACTGTCCCCCGAATCGATCGATCCGCGAGGAGGAACAGGTTACGGAGAAAACGTCACCGTGGACCAGATCTATTCGCGCGTCTTATGTCATTACGACTACGACGAAGAAGACGACGACGTCGCGGTGCCGCGTTGCATAAGCGAATCGTAAAACCGACTCCGAATGCAAATCGGCAATACGCGGTTGCGCGAATCCGATCGCGCGTCTTTTTATCGCGATTTATCGCTCGTAATTTTCATCCACAGTCGCTAGATCCGCTCGCGGTGGTCGGTGGCCACGGCCAACATCCGCCACGGGCATCCTTTCTTTCTTCTTTTCCCTTCTACGCGTTTATTTCTCGCTTACGCGTCGCTTTTTCTCAATTTTTGGCAAGAAGAGAGAAAGAGAGAGAGAGAGAGAGAGAAAGAGAACAGGAGAGGAAAGAGGGAAAGCAGATATACGCGGACGTAGTAGGTTCTTCTCCTGAGAGAAATAGCTAGAGGGGAAAAACTCACCTGTCCGAGGGTGGAAGCGGTCGAGCCAGGTTGCTGGGGTTGATGCGCTGTCGCCGATATCGGCGTGAGGGGTGTGTGCGGCGTGTGTGGTGTGTGCGGTGTGTGCGGTGTCAGCGGCGTGTGGTACTGCTGACTGCTGTCACCACCGGTGCTCCTCATCTCGAGGTCCGGACTTGTCTCGTAACCGTCATCCCTCGCTTCCTGCTTTACCATCACTCCTGCGCACAGAAAAAGACATCGCGCTCAGCAACGCTGGTGTCGCCTCGATATCGTCTCCTCTCGGTTTTCCTCCTCGCTGTTAAAACCCGCCACGATCGCGTTTTCGATCGCCCTTTTCGCGCTTTCTTCCTACGCGCCTGTACGCGCCTGTACGCGCCTATGCGCCAAGTTCGCGCCGCGCGGATAGAAAGAAAAACATTCTCTCTCTCTCTCTCTCTCTCTCTCTCTCTGAGGTTTCCGGTTCTCTCGCGATTTCCTCTTTCGGCTGCGCCGCGCTCGCGCCTCTTTCCGCTACTTTGGAATATTTTTAATATCGATCTCGAGCGAAAAGCGACGCGTTATTTTTCCACGAGGTTATCGCTCGGGGTATATTTTTACGTCGCGAGTCAACTTTTCGCAAACGCCAGCCGTATCTTTCTATTTCGAACGAGGAACGTCGTGGTACGCCACACCGTTGGAAAATCGAGCTCGCGCCAGTCCCAGTCGTTTTTCCAAAGCCTTCTCTCTTTCACCCATCCAGTCTTCCTTCTTTCACCGGTTACCCCACCGACGGCGATAAATCGTCAGCCTTCGTTCCGATTTCCTTTTCCACGCACCGATCGTCGGTTGCTCCGTTAATCCGAGAATCTCGTCGAAACAATGCCACAGAGGCAGAACGAGAGAGAGAGAGAGAGAGAGAGAGAGAGAGAGAGAGAAAGAGAGAGTGAGAGAAAACGCGAGGGCGATCGCGTTGGAGCGTTGCTCAACGACGCGTGCGATTGTTCAATGAGTCCGGAAAAAAAATATTTACTAGCCGAGCGATATCGAGGGTAGGTAGCGGTGGTGGCGGTGGCGGTGGTGGAGGACGCTTTCCGCGAAAATGCCGATTTTCCTGCAACATTTTTTTTCACGCGTTCTTTAACCTCGATCACGCGTTCGCACTCTCGCTATCGTTGCTACCCACGGGACTTTTACTCGGAATCGGTGCTCGGGCCTCGCGGCTTTTTCGGCCACTTTTTCGGAGGAATGGTGCGTGCTGGAACGGAAACGCGGAGAGTCGTAGCGCGGAAGTAGACGATAAAGCGGCGATTAAAGGAAACGACGCGAGTCGGAGGTCGGTGATGGGACGCGCGTAGTCGGTGGAATTCGGACACTCGTCGGTGGGAAAAACGCTTTATCCCGGTGGAAATGCGAAAGGACCGAGATCGGAAAACGCGATGGTACGCGGAGAAGCGCGCGAGAGCGCGCGGGTTTTTGCGGCATGCCAAACGCACGAATCACCTACGTCCGGTCTGGTGTGCGTAGTCGCATTTGCGAGGTACAATATACAAAATTAAAACGATATTTGATTCGTTATACCTTTGTCCGCGTAATCGCGCGATATTGAATTGTCACGAGGCGGGTAATTTTTTCATCGCAGCGAAACTTTCCTCTGAAATATCGCGGTCGTTGCTTTTATCCATCGTCGACGTTTGATAGTTGGAAATTGTTGGCGCGCTACAGAGGTTACGCGTATTCGATGCACGGCCGATGTTTAAAAGAGAATTCTGCCAATAAATTTGATACGACGCTAATTTAATATGTAGAACGTTTCCCCGAATTTTTCACCGGCCCGATTAATCAGCGTCGCTCTCCCTTTATCGCGAAATACCGTTCCATCTGCAAAAAACGTACAATTCTCTCGCGAGCACCGGACACACGCCATTTCCATTTCGCTTTCCACGCTTTCCACGCTTTCCACGCTCTCCACGCTCTCCACCGCGCACCTTTCTTCTCTTACCTTGAGAACCGCAATTCATCGGTGTCACGTTCGGCCCTCCGTTTTGCACCGGCGACGGATACGATCTGCAACAAAGAAACGAGAACCGCGTTAAACGCTTTTCTCGAGTTTGCCCGGTTTTCCGCGGGAACGGCCACGCGAAATCCTCGGCCGAAATCTTTCCGTCCTCTCCGCGAAAGCCAAGTCGCGGGAAATGCCTTTGCGCATCGACCAGCAACAGGTCATTTTATTCCATTTCGATATCGATACTCGCGCCCGTCCTAACGGTTACGCGTCCGATCCTTTTCCGAGCGATCGCTCTCTCGTCGGCGCTCCAGGGGGGAGAAAGACGGTGAAAAAGGAGGAAGGAAAGAAAGGAAGATTCGCTGGACCGTTCGACCGCGATACGGCGGTTTCTCGATCGCGTAAAAACGCGTTCGACATCGGTAACATCGATGCGCGACGATGCGAATGCGCGTCGAGAGAGAGAGAGAGAGAGAGGGAGAGGATAAAAAGAGGAAAAAGAAAAAAAAAAGGAGAGGCGAGAACTGGCGGAAAATCGTAATCGGTGTACCGTCGTTACGGTGCATAAACCCGCGTGCACCCCATTTAATCGATCGTTCTCCCTATAAGCAAGCGCCAGTTACGATTGTTCTCTCTGTTATCTACCCCTTTCGCCTCCCGCCCCACTCGCTGACCCCCCCCCTCCCCTTTCTCGTCCTCCATTCATCCGTCCACCTTTCGACTAATTACGAGAAGACCCTGCGCGAGGTTATTCGCGGCACGCCAAAGGTGAACCGCGTACGCGCGGATTATAAACGAGCAACGAGAGACCGCCGGCCGACGCTCGCGATATCGGCTCGACCCTAATTACGTTTCGTCGCGGCCTCTCTAGCCTGCTAGCTCGATAAACGCCGCTTCGCGTCGCGCCGCTGCATTCCGAGCGCGAGTAGCAATCGCGGCCAATCTCCGACTCGCAGTCGCGGAACATTCGAATCGCGAGAATCGCGCGGATCACGCGTTCCGAGTACTACCCGTGCGCAAACTTCTCCGGCAAGCGAAGCCATTACGATCAGCTGTGTGTACGTTGCGTCCTGAGGATCGATCGGGGCTGGTGGTTTCGTCGTCGCGGAAATTCGCCGAATCCGCCTTCCTCCGTTCTTCCGGCGCGATCCACACCGATCGATTTCGCGAACGAAGAGATCGAGCAGACCGCGAAAGGGTGAAAAAGGGGTAAAAGGTCTCGGTGCGGAAGAAACGGCTGCACGCCCTCGCGAGACGCGCTTGGCAACGGAGTTAGGAGCCGAGGTCCGCGCTACAAATATTACGCCCGAGACTAAATACAAACAATCGGGTGGGTACCGTGCAACGTAACGCAGGCAGCTGCATTGTTTCCGTTAAAATTGAAAATTACAAACCCCCGATACGTTTGTCGAAGCTGCGGACAAAGGGGGCAAAATATCGAGTCAATATTTGCGCATCCGCGCGCACGCTGTCCCGCGTGACCTTTCTAATATTCCCGAGATTTCCGTGCAATCGGCCAACGATTCTTTCCACTCGCCGCGAGTTTCTTCTCTTTTTCCTCGTGCGTGCGTGCGTGCGTGCGCGCGCGCGAGGTCGATATCGCGGATAATTGGCAATCGCCGTGCGTTTCCGCGGGCACGCGAGTATCGGTTCCAAGACGAGTTTAAAAATTCTTCGCCAACTTTGAATTATAGAGTACGAACGGCCGATGGACTATTACGATGACTGAATCTATTAATGGCCAACGACGATTTATCGTCATTTTCGAGGAGGAGAAATTACCCGGTGTCGATAGGACTCTCGATAGGATAGGATAGGATAGGATAGGATAGGATAGGATAGGATAGGATAGGATAGGATAGGATAGGATAGGATAGGACGGTATGGGATAGGGGAGAAGAAGAGCGTTTTGCGGAAACTCGATCGAACGTCGATCCTTTCTCGTAACCCTCTTGGCCTCGCGTCACGTGGCAGGGACGTAAAACGCGTGGCGGTTATCGGTGGAACGACGGCTACGATGAGGGCGACGACGACGACGACGTCGAGAACGTCGAGGACGACGCTGCTGCTTTTCCGTCGATACGACACGCTTCGGCAACGAGAGAAAACGTTGGCGCGTCTGTGTCGGACAGAACGATGCTGCCGCGGGAGAAAAACTCGTCGAGACGAAAGAGTTACGTAAAGTATCTGCGAAGAGCGGGTAGCGGGGAGTTTACGATCGAACGAAAACGCTCGAAAAGCCGGAACTAAGTTTATTTTTTGCCACGACGCCGAGTAATCGTTCCGTCACGCTCGCTTTTGCAATCGCCGCGAAACAAATGCCCCGCCGTCACGTTCCGCGAAATACGCGTACGTATATTTTATCCAGTGTACCGGTTTTCGAAATTCCCCCAAATTACACGCTCGCGGAAACACTGCGAGCTCGCGAGCTCGCTCTCGCGCGCGCCTGCGCGCATGTAGCAAGCTACCAGTGGCCATCGCCGCCGAGTCGAGCGCTTCGCGTAACGATCGCCACGATCCACGCGTTTACTTTCTTTTTTCCCCGTACGCCTACTTGCAGCCGTTTCCAGATTTTCGACTAGTCACGCGGCAACGCAGACGTCGATAAGGAGAATATCGCGTATCGCGTCGCTCTCTCGCGGATATCCGCGTAAATTCATTTTCACCGGCAGGCGATAGCGGAGGAATAGGACGGGGAAGAAAAGCTTTGAAAAGCGAAGGGAAAAGGAAGCCGCGATAAAAGTGGCATCGTAGGGCCGTAGCTAGGTAGGTAGGTAGGTAGGTAGGTAGGTAGGTAGGTATGTAGGTAGGTAGGTAGGTAGGTAGATAGGTAGATAGGTAGGTAGGTAGGTAGGTAGGTAGGTAGGAAGACCATGGGATGCACTCGTTCGTATAACGCTATCGACGCGACGCGTCGAGTATTCACGGTGCAACGCGCACTGGAAAACGATCGTTCGGATGCATTTAAGGGAACCGTTGCCGAGCTCTGCTCGTCGTCGACGACGTCTCCCGCTCTCTCTTTCTCTCTCTCTCTCTCTCTCTTTCTCTCCATTTTTCGCGCCACACACCGGCGTCGTCGTTACTTCGCCATTGGCAAAGAGAAAAAGCCGAGAATTACTCGGAGTCGTTTCTCCGGAGCATGCAAAGACGCAGCTGCGTTCCCTGTTCCGGTTGGCCGTTCGTTAATAGCGCGTCGCTGTCGTTATCGCGCCGCTTTCGCGTCGTCCACCTCTTGCCATCGCGGCCTTAAGCTCTCGTCTCTCCGCGTCCGTCGCCATCGCCGCTGCGTCGTTGTCGTCGCCGTTGACGTCGTCGACGTCGCGGTGGTCGAGATAATACCGAGAAGAAGACGCGAGCGTGGGCGTCGCAAAGGTGACTCTGGCTTCTTTCGAGGAAAAGAGCGGAGAGAGCTCGTCCATCGCGACATACGAGCAGTCCCTTCTACGACCGGTCTTCCGAGACATTCGAGTCTAGGATAAAGGACTGGCGAAAAGAGAAAGAGAGAGAGAGAGGGAGGGAGGGAAATGGAGAAAGAGGGAAAAAAGCAGAGTTTCCCCGATGCCTGGACGTGGACGACGATAAAAAGATCTTTCTGGAGGAAGAATGGCGGCGACGGGAAAGCCGGTGGTACAGTCACGGGCAACGCGTCGCGCCGTACGCGTACCTCCGCCGAGACCACCGATCACGGACGAAACGCGGCGGGGCGACGTTGGCGAATCGAGATCGGCAACTCGAAAACGCGCGTGCATCGGTGAAGAAAGAGGAAGAAAAAGAAAAAATGGCAAAGGAAGACGCGCGCACGTGAGAAAAGAAAAAGACAGAGAAAGAGGGAGAGAGAGAGAGAGAGAGAGAGTTGGCGGAGAAATTTGGTCGCGGTGACGCGCGGAAGAAAGGAAGAAGAAGCGGTGGCGGCGGGGTCGGTGCAATCGGTGAAAACTACGTTTCGTAGCAGGTCTTTTTTTTCTTCGCGCGCAACGTTGCTCGTTTTTGCACGCTAATTCGAAAATACTCGGAATAATTTTCAGCCGGAGCTATACCTACCGGTCTATGTACTTTTTACGTAGCGCTCGGACCTATGTATCGCGGGCCCCGATGTACATACATATAGGTACGCGTATATGCCACCAAGGTAAATATACAAGGTATATAAGGGTAGCGTGTAGGAGATGGTTGGTACATAGAAGTACTTGCTGGAAACGACTAGGGCAGTCGACGGGGGGTGAGAAGAGGGAGGCGGGCAAGGGAATGGAGAGATTCTATCCGTCTCTCTCTCTCTCTCTCCTCTCTCCTCTCTCACTCTCTCTCTCTCTCTCTCTCTCTCT